TTCATGACCTCACTTGATGTGTGTCCCACCTGATGTGTGACCCTGGAGTGTGACCTCATCTGATGTGTGACCTCACCTGGTGTGTGACCCACCTGGTGCATGACCTACCTGGTGTGTGACCTCACCTGGTGTGTGTCCCACCTGGTGCGTGACCCACCTGGTGCGTGACCCTAGCCCCGCCTCCATACCTGTCTGGGCCTTTGCAGAAGCTCCTGAGCCGCTGCAGTAGCAAAGACAGCTCTGTTGCTCCCTGGGCTGAGCTGCAGGGAGAGTGACAGCCCTGTCACCAGCTGGACCCCGAGGTCTGTGATGGTCACCTTCTCATCCAGCACGGTGATGGTCTTTTCTGCCAAGATGGCATCTGACAGAGGCGACAGGATCTGAAAGGCAGAACCAACATGGAAGGAAAAGCTTGCTGTGGCCCCAGAATTTCCTCCCATGGCATAAATGATGCTCGTAGAGACAGACGACCGAGCCAGAGTGAACAGAAACGGGTCTTTCCCACTGATGTCTTCTTCCAAAAGGCGTATCTCGCATGATGGGGGGGGGGATCTGACGCCCCCCCACTACACAGAGAGACCCCAGGACCCACCAGGCACCCCCGCAGTCCTCCCGAGGAGGAACTGGCTTTGCCATTCACGGGGTGCCAGCTTCATGGGGCTTGCGCTGCACAATCATTTTCTAGTACACGTGCATGTGCATCAAATAATCGGTTTAAGAAACTTCACAGCAGCAAGGAAAAACTGATTTTGATGTGCTAGTTACGTATTTATGTGCTTCTTTCTTACACACGTGTGTGACTAAGAGGAGACTGTTGGCCCACGTGTCACCTGAGTCATCCCGTGTGTCATGACAGCTCACACTCCATACCTCGGGCAACACGGAGCATTTGGGAGATCAGCTCGCATCCCCAGTAAACAGAGCTGTGAGTCTCCACCACCAGAGCTGACACCCCAGAGTCTCATTTCTCCTGCGGACACCGCGGTCCCGGGGAAACGAAGCTTATGCCTCATTTAGACCCTGCAGAGGAGGTCCTGCTTTTGTGGAACCCCTTGTCCCGCTCACCCCTCACACAAGTTTGAAGAGTTAACTTTGGTCCCCGTGAACCCTCAGCCTCAACCCTGGATGACACGGCTTCCAGCTTCCCTTAACCCACATTCCTGACATGCTTCTTTCTGTGAGGTGGTGCTGATATTTATGAAGACATATGTTGAGATGGCAGTTTTCCCAGGACCCCTGAAATTTGTGTACCGAGCTCCATAATTCTATCCAAATACCACCTTCGGTCTCTAAGTCTGGTTTGGACAATTTGAACGGCCGTGAGTGTGAGTTACGAGTCCCCCAGAGGAAGTGGACAAGCGAATTTATAACTCAGGAGGACTCAGTGGGAATAAAGAAAAGGGTGTCAGGACTCTCTGCCCCACCAGGACAGTGTCTGTGTTGAATGCATGGGAAGCCGGCCCCCGTCCCCGGCCCGGAGCCCCGACTTGTGCTGCTGTCCTGGTCCTTGCACCACCACATGGGGCAGTGGTGAATGCCACCGCTCCTGGTTCCAGTCCCCAGGTGTCAGTTTAGCCTGTGGACAGGTGGTAGGAACTTAGCTCTTTGGTTTAGGTCTTTCAACTAAAAGTCAATCACGGAGGTTTCGAGCTCCTGTCTAGGGGGCAGATAGGTTCTGTTTGACGTAAATGAGACTTTAAAATGGAATTAATGGCCACCCTTAAAAAAAAAATCATAGGATTTCATACAAAAAGATCTCTCACTTTTCTGGAAAGGCTGCAACATCTGGCCGTGCTAGATTTGCATTTCCTTTGGCAGCCCCGCCCTCGCCGCACTCCTCACCGGCCCCTATCGTGTTCCCAGCACTCGGGGCCCAAGTGAGCGGCTGTCTTTCAGCTCACGCCCAGGCAGCTTTGCTCACTGTCACCTTCTCTAGCCTTTGAGATCATTGGAGCAAGCGACCCCTGGGTCACTTCAAACCTGTCTATTTGCCTCCTTGAGTAAAATGATCTCTTTTAAATACCAGCCAATTTTCCAGAGCAGATATGCTTTAAATCTTGCATAATCAATACTTTCACTGACGAGGTTCCTCACGCACAGCTGTGTCAGAAACCCCCACTGACAGGCTAGTAGCCCGATTGGGGGCACCTGCTGAACCATCATATTGTTCTCAGACGGGAGGTAGACCACTAAACCCAGGGGACCTCCCGGGACAGCGTTTTGGGGGAGTGTTTGTTCCAAAACCCCATGTTGCATCCTGGTCCTGCCCCATCCGTTCCTGGCTGCAGGTGCCCCCAAGACCGTGAGGGGCATAATAACTTTGTTCCTCTCCTCGGCTCGTTTCTGAGACGCCCTAGTTTTCACTGGGCCTGGGGTGGGACTTGAGGCAGCATGGCATCACGGCAGGATGGAATGCTGTGACACAGGATGATGGTCAGTGGGGTGGAGGGCTCAGCGAGAAGTGCTGGCCATGCCCATGCCCATGGCTCCCATGAGGCCAGCTCACGCCCACAGCCTTCTCCCCATGATGGTAACACCCAGCATGGTGTAGAGACAGTGTACTGGGGTTTCAAACATGACCCACCCAGAGGAGCCACCCAGTGTTTGTCAAATGCAAGCAGTAAGTGAGGAACTTCAAGACTCTTGTCACCTCCTTACCCCAGTTATATTATTCAGGTGACAATTTGGTTCGCTCTAGAAATAGATGTCCTAAGTAATGACAAACAATTCTCATCTGGGCAGAGAAGAGGCAGGGATACGGAGGGTACTTGTGCTGGGGGTTGCTCACCTGAATGGTGGTCATCCCAAGCTCCTGGCCGATCAGGACTTGTCCCCGCTGTAGCTTGGCGATGCGGGGCTCCTCCACCTGCATGAAGTCATTCACCAGCTCCGTGATGTCCACCTGCCAGTCTGAGCCCAGCAAGTGGGCCAGGTGTCCGCCCCGGTCCGCCGCCTCGGCCACAAACTGCGTCAAGACCCGCACCATGGCGTGCTGGTACTGGAGCGTGCAGCCGCGACCCGCCCTCCTGTCGTCGTCCTCCTCTTCCTCGCTGTCCCGAGCCAGCCTGTGAAACGGTCAGGTCAGGTTAGTGGGTACTGACTTGGGCCAACGGCAGGGGCTGCAAAGGGGAGCGGGCAGTGAGCCCAGCCTGGTGGGGCTCAGACGGAACACAGGTCATACCCCGAATGCCTGACCATCAGAAGGGGCTGGTGTGGTCAGCAGAGATCCGAGGCGTCCCCAGTGAGCCCCACCTCCCGGAACGCACTGCGCAGAATCCCCTCCCTTTGAGTGCGAGCTGCTCCTAGTAACCTCCTTGCAGTGGAAGATTATAGCCAAAGTTAGGGGATGTCACTTCCAGCATTCGGCTTTAAAACAGACTGTGCCATCTGTCTTGCTTGGTAGTCTTTCCTTGGTTCTTCTCTTGCTTGCTCTGAGGAAGGAAGCTGCACGTTGTGAGCAGCCCTGTGGGGCTAGCCACATGCCAGAGCAAGGGCCAGCGAGGAGCCGGGAGCCGCCGTTCCACAGCCCGTGAGGAACCGCGGCTGCCGACCACCACGTGGGCTGGGAGGCAGGGCCCTCCGCACCCTGAGCTCCGGCCAACACCCTGACTGCCGTCTGTGAGAGACCCTGCTAAGCCAAGCCTGCATTCCTGATCCGGAGACACTGTGAGATCATACGCCTCTGCTTCAAGCCCTGAGGTTTGGGGACTCGTCATCAAACTGTGCAGCATGGGTAACTAACCTGATAGGGCTGTGGGTGACCGCAATAGCCCCATAAACCGGCACACAAGGGGTGCGTATCGCCCTCAAGGTAACGTGACAGTAAGCACAGAAAGGACCGGGATGGTTTGGCTCGGGGACAGATGTTGGCTGCCCTGCTCAGGTCTGATGCCTCCGCCCAGCCACCTCTTCCTGGCGCAGCGTGGTCTCCATCTGAGCATCAGCCCGGGTCTATGGCTGGATCTGAGCTGGACAGCGTGACACTGAGATGTGCCACGATCACACTCAGCCAGTCCCCCGGCACGTCCTCCCTGCGGCTGCCCACCTCGCAGCATCAACAACCTCTCCTAACCCCACCCCTCCAGCTCAGCAGCACGGACCCCGCGGCCAGGGAGAGGGTCACTGCTGAAACAGTCTTCCAGCCTGCATTCTCGAAGCTGTCCTCTCCCCCAGGGCACAGGGACTAACTGGGGTGGAGATCGAAGGGCAGAAACAGAAAGGGCATCCCTCAGAGGACACCACCTGTCCTCCCTGCTGAGCACAGACACCTGGAGTGCTCCCTTCTCTAATTCCGCGTATGCTCACTCTCACCTTTCTGCAGGTGGCTGGCATGCTGGTCCCTGGTCACGGGTTTCTCTGAGACGACAGAGTCTCTGAACAAAGAGCCTGATCTCTTGCTACTCTCCTGGTACCTGGTGAGCCGTGTGGATAAAGGATACCTGCCCCTCTAACAGACGCCTCAGGGTAAAGGACCAGGCACAGGGGGTCAGGCTTCTGACTTCATCTCCCTGAGACCCAGCAGTCCCAGAGCTTCTGGGCTGGGAGCACCGAGAGGCTGCCCAGGTCAGCCAGAGTCTGCTCCCAGGTCTCTCTGGGGGGCTTCTGTCGTTTGTGCCTTCCCAGAATCAACCGGCCCCTTCTGGTATCAACCATCGGTTCAGACGGGGTTGACCTCTTCCAGGTGCTCTGATTCCAGGCAGGGGTTTGTGCTGAAGGCTCACCGGACAGACTGTGTGCTCTATGTCCTCGCTACAGTACTGCGCCGGGGACGGGCACACAGCCTGAGTGAGGCTAGCATAACTCCAAGACCTCTGCTGGAACCACTGGGAAGGAGAGGATGCACTTCTTGCGAGTCTGGAACTGCAGGAGAAAAGCCTGGTGGAGGACGAGGCCAACACACGGCAGACCAGCCCGCCAGGTGGGGACAGAGTCCATCCTGAGGGTGCCGTTTGAATCCCTGGATCCAGTCATGCCTGAAATCAGCTACCCTGCAAGTGTCTGTTTTTAGTGGAAGCATATTTGACTTGGGTCTCTGAGAGGGAGTCATGACTAGCACACCCACCTTTTATTGGAGACAATGGGCACCCGCCAGCCCTTGATCTGGTTGAGCTCGGTGTCCGAGATCTCGATCTGCAGCGGGAGCCGGGGCACCCACACGGTCATCTCCAAGGAGCTGCTCAGGTGCTGGTAGGTGAAGTTCACCACCACATCCACCTTGCCTTTCATTTCCTTCCCATTGACGAAGACGTAGTCACATCTGTCAGATACCTGGGAAGGGGGGGAGGCAGTAAGATCTTACTGTACACCCCAGCACCGCGGAAACAGCAGAGAAGGTGGAGGCGGTGAGGCGAAGTGCCCTCGCTCTTTGAGGCATGAGCCCTGCAGTGGACGCTGCTCTCTGCTTTCGGCTGCAGCAGATGCTGTGGGGATCTGACCACTTCTCCCAGGACCCCTTCTTCCAGTCTGCATGCAGACCGCCCCCCTCCCCAGGCACCACTGACCTCCCCTGCTGCACCTCTGACAGATGGCCCTTAAGTGTCGGGAGCCATGCCCTCAGCCATGGGTGCTGTGTGCTGCCCACCTGCCCCATGGCCTGCTGACCTCTGGTTTTCCTGGAGGAGGGACACTGTGTGCACAGCCACCACCCTGAGGGCCTCCTGCAGGCAGACCAGCTAGTTTCACGAAAACTACCCTGCTCAGTTCCCCTCATCTGTGCGTCCTGTGTTCTTTTGCTCCCATGTGGATTTCTGCAGAGAACATCCCACCTCAGTTGTGGGGGCGGATGTGACCCATACTCTTCATGGTTCCTTACTGAGTCCCATGGGATTTCTCCCCACTTGCCCAGCAGGGGCGCTACCCCCTGCTGGTGTCTCTTCCTTCCCTGCTTCCTGTCTTGTCCCCTCTCCCTCACTCTGCCTCCTGGAGCCCCTCCCCTGTTAAGTCCGTGTCCCAGGCTCTGCGCCCCAGACAGGGAGACGCGGGCACATGTGAGCTCATGCCGTCCACCGGGCAGCCTGAGACCAGGCTCTCCCCCAGGAAGGGGCAGAGCCACAGTCGGGCGCTGGGGGTGCAGCTCTGCGGTCCACGTTCTCAGCTCCTGCCCCGTACAAGACTGCTCCTCTCTGCTGGCGTCTGAGAGAAGAACTAAGACCTCTTGTCTTTGTTTTCCAGGAATCCAGGGGCCTTCCTTCTCTCCTGAACCAGACCTGGGTATGTGTGCTAGGCTGATTCATGGCCCCAAAGATGTCAGGCCCCAAGTCTCTGGAACCTGTCAGTGTGACCTTTTTCGGCAAAAGGGACTTTGCAGATGGGGTTCAGTTAAGGATGTTGAGTTGAGCAGATTATCAGGGGTTGTCTGGGTGGGCCCCCAGGGTCATCTGGGTGCCCTCACAAGAGGGAAGTGGAAGGAGATTGGTGGCTGCCGCAGAGGAAGGCCACCCAAGTGGGATGCCACGCTGTGGGCTCTGGCAATGCAGAACAGGACGAAGGCACCTCCAGAAGCTCGATAAAGCAAGGACATGCCTCCCCCTGGAGCCTCGGGAGGGAGCGCAGTCTGCGCACCTCTGGTCCTCGGGCTGCCCAAACTGCTTCCCGACACCTGCCTTCCAGAACGTGCTGTGTGGAGCCCAGGCATGTGCTGGTGTGCTGCGGTGGGCCTCGGACACGGACACAAGCCCGAAGTGAGCGTGGAGGGAGCACCTGCGTTGACTGAGCGCTTACCATGTGCCCGGACCGGCAGCTGAGCACGGCTCATGTGGTCTCCGCACACAAAAGCACACAGAAGGCAGGGGGCTTGTCCCGGGTTCACAGATGGTCAGCCTGAGGCCCCAAGACATTCGGTAAAGCTTCCTGGGGACACACAGCTGGAAACGCAAGGCCCAGACCCCTGGCCAGGCCACCCCGGCTGTCTCTTCCTGCAGGTGCATCATCCCTGCCTGAATGGTCTCGCGGACTGGATCCGTAAAGGACGCACACCTCCCCCCAGCACTTGGAGGGGCGTGAAGAAAGCAAAGCAGGAATTATCACGTTGTTCCCACATCATAAAAAGCATTTCCAACGAAGGCCCCTTTCATCTCCGCGGTTAGGCAGCCGGGATGCAAAACACACAAAGAGGCGCCGAGAGGTTCGGCGTCCGGGGATGATCAGGAATGACTCTGGAAAGAAACGTGGACCCAGGCCCACTGATGAGTCAGAGGAGGTTGTCATCCTAAATATCTGCCAATAGCAAAAGTACTTAAGTCTGATGGAAAGGCCGAATGGAACGGCTCGGGCGGCTTTGTCGCCATTGTGGCCTGGCCACAGCGCTCCTTGCTGGGCCACAACGCTCCTTGCGGTGGGCCTGCAATCTCAGGCTTTTTCTCTTTCAAGGCTTCCAGCAAATCAGGCTGATTGTCACAGATGAGCTGACTGGAGGAGGGAGGGGGAGGAGGAGTGGGGGGAGGGAGGTGGGGCTTGGTGGCAGTTTTCAGGGCCATGGGCTGTTTCAGGGATGTAACTTTCTGGCCTCTGGGTGGAGGAGGTGTTCTAGCAGAAGGTGGGAGAGCGTCTTAGGCGTGCCTGCCACCCCGGGCCCCCCGTGGAACACAGAGCAGAGCAGGCACTGGGCTAGATTATGAATACAGAGCTAAGTCTTCATGTTGTGTTACATTTTGCTTTGCTTTGAAGCTCAGTGTTTATTCCTCAAAGCAAAAAGAAAAAGGGGGAGGGAAGGCAGGACTTCACAGCTAAGCAGTGTGCTCTGAGGAGCAGGTAGAGCCTGGCACCTGGGGCGGGAACTGCAACATTGGGGCTGAGGGCGGGGCGCGGAGGTGGAGGTATGCACGTGTGTGCACGCATGTCCGTGTGCGTGTGTGGGTGCACGCGTGTTCACGTTCACGTGTGCAGTGTATGTGTGCACGTGTGTGCACGCGTGAGTGCGCGGGTGCATGGCTGTGCACATGTGCGTGCACACGTGTGCATGTGTGGGTCTACGTATGCATGTGTTTGTGTGCATGCGTGTGCGTGTGCGTGCATGAAGTGTTCACGACAAGTAATAAAAGCACAAACTGTATCTGACTGCAGGGTCCGTGAATCTCCACCCCTACACTTCTCTGGGTTTCCGCGCACGGCCCGAGTCTGCACGTGGCAGGGAGCACGATGGCTTGCCAGCAGCATCTGGCCCTAGTTCGGGTGCACAGTGGGACTGTCCTAGCTCATGTGTTGTTGGACAGGGAGGGGACCATCTTGACAACAAGTTGTGAGCTGGAGCCACGTGTCACCGCCTCGTGGGAACACTTCATTTCTCAAGAGGGACCTTCCAGGGCTCCCCATCCCTCTCCGTGGTGCTGACAGTGCTGGGAGCCCAGCAGCCTGCGCCCCTGAGCTCAGAGCGCCCCCCCGCCCCAAGCCGCAGAGACAGGTGGCAGGCGGCCCGGGTGGCAAGCTCAGCTGTCTCGTGTGAAGTCGCTGATAACCCCGGGTTACGTTCCTTCACGTCAGCCAAGCTATCCCCACCCGGTCACATGCACAGACACGTCCTGATGCCTGCATTAGTAGAGAAAGAATGCACCAAATCCACAGATTTCGTGGGCTGCAGCAGAGTGAATGAGACACGTGAAGGCAGATGAAATAATGAGGGCGGTGTTGGGAAGATCCTAATTCCTGAAACACAAAATGAGCCAGGAATGTAACTGGGGTCTGCCCCGGGGGCCAGAGGTCTTGGTTATAAGCAAGCATCTTTCCATAATGCCCAACTTAGGGGACCCCCTTCCCCAGCACTGCCTCAAGCTAATGGCTTTCTAATGATGGAAACGGTGTGCAAAGGAAGCAAATGAAAATCAGGGAGGAATGACCTGCGGGCTTGCAAGCATCACCTTGGAGGAAGCTTTGGGGAGGTTGCAGGGGATCCGAGGAGAGAAGGAGATGCCACACAGGAAGGACTCTGGCGGTGAATGAAAGGGGGTGTCCTGAGCCTCTGTGCTGGGGAGTTGGGGGGCATGACACCTGCCTGGGCATCCCAATGCTCATAATCGCATGGTTTTGGGATCCAGCACCACTGGGCCCTGCTTGTTGCCATTTTCACAGGGGGAGGAGACTTCAGCCTGGGGGTGTCAGAGATCTTTCTCTGCCTATGACTCAGCTCGGGCTGCAAGTCGGGGGGCTGATGCCCTGCTGGCTCCCCCCGTCCCGTCCCTCGTTGCTTCCGAGTGCAGTCCAGCCTGTCCGCAGGAAGCAGAAAGGCGGGGGAGGGGGGTGTGGTGTGAGAGAGGGAGGGAAATTCACATGGCAGATGACATTCAGTTAAAGATTTTGAGATGAGATTGTCCTGGATTTGGGGGCAGGTTGCAAATGTAATTGGCGTCTTGTAAGGGAGATGCAGAGGGAGACCTGGCAGGCAGAAGAGGAGAAGGCCATGTGGAGGTGAGGCCGATGTGCAGGGACGTGGCCACACAAGCAGGAGGGCCGGTTGTCAGAAGCCCCTCCAAGGGGCAGGAACAGCTCCTCCCTGGGGCCCCTGAGGGGAATCACTCAGGCTTCTGGCCTCCAGAACCGTTAAGGAAAGCATTCCTGTTGCTTTAGGGCAGCAAGCTCATGGTCATTTGTCACAGTGGCCACCAGAGACTAGCCCGCCACCCGGGCGCAGCTCTCCCTGCTATGTCCCCCAATTACAGGCCTGAGCTCTGGCGCGTTCCTCGCTGAGCCTCCCGCATGAGGCACCAGCCCACGCTCGGTCCAGGCAACCTCACCGCAAGGCTGGGCCCACCCTGAGTTGGGGAGACACCCGCCGGGTCCCCCAGAGCCCACCTGGGTCGACCCACATCCCGTGGTCCCCACAACAGCCAGATAGGCGGGATTCGTCCCATCCCCGGGCCCCCATCTTCCCCTCCCTCTCCCTGACTGTCGCCAGATGAATGGACACACCGATCAGTCCGGGTGAGTGGACAAGACCTGCCCGTTCCTTCTGAACCACGCTGCATGATGCTGAAGGTGTGAGGGAACCCTGTGGGGGGACTCGCCCCTCTTTCAGGCTCCGCTTCCAGCCAGCCACACTGTGCCACCGAGAGGATATCGTCAACAACACCGACTCCGCTGTGCACAACCCATCACTTGTGTGAATTTAATGCCACTCCTCTCTTCTGTTTGCATGCGGTAAGAATTCAAATCTTATTTAAATATCATCAACGTTCACGGTAAAATTTATGTTCTTCTGATGTTTTCTCTTTCCTTTTTTCTCCCTGAGAGCTAGACGTAAGGATGCTAAAATTCTACCTCTCCACCCAGATTTGGCA